CTTCCTCTTCCTCTCTCCCTCCCCTCTCTCCCTCCTTCTCTCTTTCATTTCTCCATCCCCTCACCCTCTCTCACCTCTCCCTTTTTCTCTCTCTCCCTTTCTCCCTCTCCCCTTCTATCTCCTGTTCTCCATTCTCCCCTCTCTTCCTCTCCCCCCTCTTTTTCTCTCCCCCCTTCTCTTCTTTCATTTCTCCATCCCCTCACCCTCTCTCATCTCTCCCTTTCTCTCTCTTTCCCTTTCTTCCTCTCCCTCTCCCCTTCTCTCTCCCTTTCTCCATCCTCCCCTCTCTTCAAACCTTGTCGGGACGACAACACGGGAAGGAGGATGCCCGGAGATGCAAAGCAACTGCTCTCCTTGGTGTGAGCAGACCGAAAACCCACCTCTCCATCTCCCGCAAACTCTTACCGCCATTTGAGCAGCGTCTGGATGAGGGTAGCGTAGCCCTGGGCGGCCGCGAGGTGCAAGAGGGTCATTCCCCGGAACGTCTTGGAGTGGATCAGGTGTTTGGATTTAGCCCAGCATGCTCGGCTCATCATCTTCTCGCACACCACCACAACGCGGCTCTCGAAGCAGGTGCCCAAGGTGGCGGCCTCCGAGATGCACTGCAAGGGAAGAGACCGCGGTGAGGAAGGCAACCCGGAGGGGGACACACATGCGTGACAGGCTTGAGTGGGCGGGGAAGGGTCCAGAAAGAAGGATAAGTGTGCTATGCTGGTGGTGGTGGTATCTGGAGAAGATCCCACACACACACACCTGGCATGTGGACTTTCTGCTGGCGTGTTTTCCTGTTAGAAATTCTGTTTATATAGAGCACAGTCACCACGTGCTTTACTACTTAACAGCTTAGCTGTAACAAGAAACAGGGAACTAAAAGAAGATGCATAGGTCCAAATTTGTCAACACTGCCATCTACTGGTTGAACACAACTGTAGTTGTTACATAAAGACTCATTTCAACCATGAATTCCAACACTTCCTCTCTCGGATTTCTTCCGGAGTGGGAAAATTTTAAACCGTGTCAAAAAGTGTTCTATCGTGGGACAACTGGCCTTTTTGCTTTATTATTTATTCAATTTGTTTGACGCTGTTTTCTTGCAGACGTTTCATGAACCAGCTAGGTAACGTCATCAGTGCTAGAAGCACCCCTTCAGTACTAGAGAGAGAGAGCACCCAGAAGGGCCCTCGGCTAGCTCTTCCTTCACCCACTGGCCTGACAGGAGACGCGCAAAGCTTCGGCCCTTACCTGTGCTTGGCTACCTCCGTTGGCGCTGCTGTTGCCCCCGCTTGGCTTGTGCTGCTGGATGGTGGTCATCTCCGCCATCCTTCTCTCCATCTGCTCCAGTCGTTCCAGAATCGACATCCTGAACTGGTTATCTGCGAACCCCCCCAAAGAGGGGAAAGAGATGGTCAGGGAAGAGAAGCCTTGGAGGGGAGCGGAGGGAGAAACCCACACCTTGCTTACGACGGGGGTGAAACGGATGGTCACTCAGTTCGTATTTACCCACTGCCACAAAGAACAAGCGGTCCTCGGCATAAGACCACATTGGTATATAGATAGTTTCATGTTCTGACCCCCCTCGTTCCACACCAAAGCACACTCCGAGCCAGAGATAGTTAAGCACCAAAGCACACTCCGAGCCAGTCTTAATGTCTCCTTTACAGACACTAAATATATTTCATGTGTTTGCTTATTTATCTGTTTGTTTGTTTATTAAATTTGTATGTCCCCACCCCCCTCCTTCCACCACTCTGGGCAGCTCCTAACTGTAAATTTGCCAATCAGATGATGGGCCCCAAATAGTTTTGGAAACTCCAAGTCAGGTTGCAAATGTTCTTTTTTTCAGGTGTTGGGGTTTTAAGTGTGTGTGTGTGAGNATAGAACAGAATAGAATACAGAACAGAACAGAACAGAACAGAATTAGAACAGAACAGAAAAGAAAAGAATATAGAACAGAACACAGAACAGAACACAGAACAGAATGAAACGGAACAGAATACAGAACAGAATAGAATTGAACAGACTAGAATATAGAACAGAACAGAATACAGAACAGAATACAGAACAGAATACAGAACAGAATTCAGAACAGAATTCAGAACAGAACAGAACAGCAATAGCCCTTAGACTCATATACCGCTTCATAGTGAATCACAGCCTCTTTAGGTGGTTTACAGAGTCTGCCTATTGCCTCTCCAAAATCCAGGTCCTCATTTTACCGACCTCGGAAGGACGGAAGTCAACCTTCAGCCCACCAGGATCGAACTGCTGGCGGTGGGCAGAATCAGCCTGCCATCCATCCTGCATTGTGACCATTCAGCGCCACCACAGCTCCTCACTTCCGCCGTACTTTTGCCAGGGACCGTCCTTCCTTCCAAGGCGGTAGAGAGTAGGAACCTGTGTCGCCTACCCCCAGCCCCTCGTGCCCCCACCTCCCCCGCGGCGCCCCACCTTGTATTTCCTGAAGACGGTCTGGACCAGCTTGGCGGCTTCGTAGAGCTCCCGTTGCTCGTGGTCGGAGAGGGTCAGCTGTGCAAACTCGTTTTCCACCTTGTCCCCCGCGGAGGCGCTTAGGAATTCGGACCAGTCTGTCGCCGAAGGGAGCCTGGGCTTCTCAAAAGCCGTGGCATCGACTGGCGAGCCGGAGGGGCTGCGGCTGGTGTGGGGCGAGGGGGTCAGGCACCCGCCGTACAGACTTCTGCAACAGAGGAGGGGCGGGCAAGAGCGTCAGGGCTCCTCCTGGGAAATGAGGACAACGGAGCGGGGAAGGAGGGAGGGAGGGAGGGAGGGAGGGGGGAATCCTCCGCAGGCCTCAGGTTAATAGCCCCTGATGATGTTATCTAGTTGGGTCACGAAACGTCTGTGAAACCAGCAAGCTCTGGGGGCAGTAAGGACCCCACAGTCCTCCTCGCCCTCCCCTTCCCCTACTGCCCTCCCCCTCCCTCCTCCTTCTTTTCCCCAAACCCTCCCCTTCCTCCACTTCTCCTCCCCCTCCCTCCTCCTCTTCTCCTTCTCCTCCTTTCTCCTCCTCCTCCCTCTCCTTTCCCCTCCCCTCCCTCCCCTTTCTCCTCCTCTTCTTTTCTCCTTCCCTCCTCTTCCTTCCCCTCTTCTTCTCCCTCCCTCCCCCTCCTTTCTACTCTCCCTCCCCCCTTCCTTCCTTTCCTCCTCTTTCCTCCTTCTCCTCCTCTTCCTTCTTTCTACTCCTTCCCCACCCCTCCTTTCTCCTTCTCTGCCTCTTTCTTTCTCCTCCCATCCTCTTCCTTCCCCTCTTCCTCCCTCTCCCTCTCCCCCTCCCCTTTCTCCTCCTCCATCTTTCTTCTCCTCCCTCTGCCCTTCTTCCTCCTCTCACTTTCCTCCTCCACTCCCCCTTCCCTCATTTCCTCCTCCTCCACCACCTTTCTCCTCCCCCTTTCTCCTCCTCCTCCTCCTTCCTCTCCTCCTCCACCTTTCTCCTCTCCCTCCCCCTTCCTTCTTTTCCTCCTCCTTCCTCCTTCTCCTCCTCTTCTTTCTTTCTCCTCCTTCCCCACTCCTCCTTTCTCCTTCCCCTCTCCTTTTCTGCTCCCATCCTCTTCCTTCCCCTCTCCCTCCCTCTCCCCCTCTCCCTTTCTCCTCCTCCAACTTTCTTCTCCTCCCTCTGTCCCTCTTCTTCCTCTCACTTTTCTCCTCCACTCCCTCTCCCTTCCCTCATTTCCTCCTCCTCCACCACCTTTCTCCTCCTCTTCTCCTCCCTCTCCTTTCCCCTCCCCTCCCTCCCCCTTTCTCCTCTTTTTTCTCCTTCCTTCCTCTTCCTTCCCCTCTTCCTCTCCCTCCCTCCCCCTCCTTTCTCCTCTCCCTCCCCCCTTCCTTCCTTTCCTCCTCCTTCCTCCTTCTCCTCCTCTTCCTTCTTTCTCCTCCTTCCCCATCCCCCTTTCTCCTTCTCTGCCTCTTCCTTTCTTCTCCCACTGTCCCTCTTCCTCCTCTCACTTTCCTCCTCCACTCCCCCTTCCCTCATTTCCTCCTCCTCCACCACCTTTCTCCTTCCCCTTTCTCCTCCTCCTCCTCCTCCTCTCCCCCACCTCCAATCTCCCCCTCCCCACAAACCTTATCTGAGCAGCACTGGGCAAGCGTTCCACGTCGGCCAGGTAACTGGCCAGCCAGCTCATGGAGGTGCTGATGGCGACATTGTCCGTCCTGTCCGTCTGGGATGCTTCCTCGGCCAGCACGAAATTCTCCTGTTTGATCCTTTCCGGGGTGGCTTCGATTATGTGCTCAGCCAGGGTCATCATGGTGACCTGCGGGAGCCCAGGAGACCCGGTTCAGCCCACGCACAAGCCCCTCGGCTGTCCCCACGTAGGGTCAGGAGGCTGGAGGGGAATCCAGAGGTCATCCAGTCCAAGCCCCCTGCCCAAGGGCAGGAGTCCTTAAACCCTCCAGGACAAACGGCTGTCCAATTTTCTCACTCTGCGTCTCCAATAGACTCGACTATCCGTCTGCGGTCTGAACCCCCTGCCTAGGCAGGAAACCCTATACCGTTTCAGACAAATGGCTATCCAATATCTTCTCAAAGACTTCCAGTGTTGGAGCATTCACAACTTCTGGAGGCAACTTCTGTTCCACTGATTAATTATTCTCACTGTTGGGAAATTTCTCCCCAGTTCTAAATTGCTTCTCTCCTTGATTAGTTTCCACCCATTGCNGCGCCGGAGGGGACGGAGGAACCGCCGCGGACGGCCCGGCAGAGGCTCCGCGACGCTCTCCCGCCCCCGCAATGCAGCCCCCGCCGCCGCCTCCGCACGGAGGGCAACAGCCGCGGACCCGGAGCCGCTTCAGCCGGGAGAGGCAGCGAAGGGAAGCGCGCAGGACCCTCTTCTTTGTCCTCCTCTCCCTCCTTCCTCCCTTCCTCCTTTTCTTCCGCCTCTCCTCCACTTTCTCCTTCTCCTCTACCTCCTTCCTCCCTTTCTCCTCTCCTCCACTTTCTCCTTCTCTCCCTCCTTCCTCCTTTCCTTCCGCCTCTTCTCCACTTTCTCCTTCTCCTCTACCTCCTTTCTCCCTTCCTCCTCTCCTCCACCTTCTCCTCTCCCTCCTTCCTCCTTTCCTTCCGCCTCTCCTCCACTTTCTCCTTCTCCTCTCCCTCCTTCCTCCCTTCTTTTTCTCCTCTCCCCCTTCTTCCTTTCCTGCTTTTCTTCTGCCTCTCCCTTTTCCTCCTTCTCTGCTGCCTCTTCTCCATCCCTCCTTTTTTCGCTTCCTCTTCTTCTCTTCCTCCTCTCCTCCTTTTTCTCCCTCTCCTCCCTCCCTCTCTTCTTTCTCCTCTCCTCCTCTCCCTCCTTCTTCCTTCCTGCTTTTCTTCTGCCTCTCCTCCTTTTTCTCCTTCTCCTTTTTCTCCTCTGCTTGCTCTCCCTCCCCTTTTTCTCCTTCTCCTCTACCGCCTTCCTCCCTTTTTCTCCTCTCCTCCTCTCCCCCTTCTTCCTGCTTTTCTCCTCCACTTTCTCCTTCTCCTATACCTCCTTCCTCCCTTCTTTTTCTCCTCTCCTCCTTCTTCCTGCTTTTCTTCTGTCTCTCCCTTTTCCTCCTTCTCTGCTGCCTCTTCTCCGTCCCTCCTCTTTTTTCGCTTCCTCTTCTTCTCTTCCTCCTCTCCTCCTTTTTCTCACTCTCCCCCCTCTCTCTTCTTTTTCCTTTCCTCCTCTCCCTCCTCCTTCCTTCCTGCTTTTCTTCTGCCTCCTCTGCCTCTCCTCCTTTTTCTCCTCCTTTTTCTCCTCTGCCTGCTCTCCCTCTCCTTTTTCTCCTTCTCCACTGCCTCTTTTCCCTCCCTTCTCTCTTCTCTTCCTCTCCTCCTTTTCGTCCCTCCTTCATCTCCCTCTTCCTCTCCTCCTCTCCCCTCTTCTTCCTTTCCTGCTCCTCTTCTGCTTCTCCTCCCTTTTTCTCTTCTCCTCTTCCTCTTTCCCTCTTCTCCTTTTTCTCTTCTGCCTCCTCTCCCTCTCCTCCTCTTTTTTTGCTTACTCCTTTCCCTCTCCTCCTCTTTTTTCGCCTCCTCTCCTTCTCCCTTCTTCTCCCCTTCCTCTTCTGCTTCCTCAGCCTCTCCTCCTTTTTCTCCGCTTCGTCTTCCTCCTCCTCCCCCTCCTTCTTTTTCCCCCGCTTCCTCCTCTTCTCTTCCTCTTCTTTCTCCCCTCCCCTCCTCCCCCTCTTTTTTTCTCCTCCACTTCTTCTCTTCCTCTTCTCTTTTTCTTCCTCTTCCTTTGGACTGCCATTTGCCAGAAATGGTATGTGTGCGGGAGGGGTTGGACTAGATGACCTATAAGGTCCCATCCAACTCTGTTAATCTGTTATAAATCCTCTTCCTCTGCCTCCCCTTTTCCTCTTCCTCTCCCTCTCTTCTTCTTTCTCTCCTCCTCTTCCTCTTTTTCTTCCTCTTCCCCCCCACCAGGCTGAGGATGCTGTCCCCCCATCTCCTGCCCCATCCGGAGGGAGCCCCACTGCCCCATCTTCTCCCCCCCCCCCGTATAACCCTAAGTGGGCAAGCCCACGTAGAAAGCCTTTGCCCAGTGGAGGCCCTGCGCCACTGCATCGCAAGCCCCCCTTCCACTCTCTGCCTGGCCTACCTGGCAGGGCTGCTGTGAGGATTCAAAGAGCAGTCTTAACTACAGCTAATCTTTCGACTGCAACCAAGCCCAGCGTTTCCGCTGCTAAGCAAGGCAAGTCATTAGGCGAGTTTTTTTGCCCCCTTTGGGCCAAAGTTGCTAAGCGAATCACTGCAGCCATTAAGCGAATCCCTGCAGCCGTTAAACGAATCCAGCTGGGGAAAGTCGCCCGTGGTGATCGCAGGACCCAACGGTCGGCTCAACTGTCGTAAGTCCATGCCAGTTGCNAGAAATAGAAATAGAAGATGCATGATAGAGAGAGGGGTGGATGGATGGATGGATGGATGGATGGATGGATGGATGGATGGATGGATGGATGGATGGATGGTCTCCTGTGTGAACAGGGGCTTCACTAGAAATCCTTCAAGATTGTGTAATCCCAGATCAATTAACCCGTGGAACAGAAGTTGCCTCCAGAACATGTGGCTTGTCCATCACTGGAGGTTTTTAAGAAAAGTTTGGGCAACCGCTTGTCTGAAATGGTCTAGGAACTCCTGGCTGAACAGAGGGTTGGACTAGATGACCTCGTTGTTCTTGGTACTCTGTGACCGAGGGTTTTTGGGGGTAGACATCACATTACCAAACTAGGCAACATCATCAGTGCTAGCATGGATGTTTGAGAAGGTGGGCAGTAGAAGGCCTTTCGTTGCCAACCTACCTGCGTTCGCATTGGAAATCACCGTGATTCCCTTTTGCTGGTCCTGAGAGGCGATGAGTTTGCTGGGCCATTGGGGCGTCCAGTTGTCGCCGCCGGGCTCTTCCTGCGGAGGGCAGGGGACGCGAGGGGACGGCCGGAGCTGGGCCTGCTCCTCCCGCTGCAGCTGCTCAAGGCACTCGGCCAGCTTGACGTGGCCGCGGGAGCGGGCGATGGTCAGCGGCAGCCTGCCGAGCGAGTCGGGGATGGAGATGGCCCGCCGGTCCCACTTGTAAAGGACCACGGCGGCGTCCGTGTGACCCAGAGCGCAGGCCCACATCTGGAAGAGAAAAGGTTCCCGGGGTCATTGGGGAAGACGGAAGAGATTTCCTGCCGCAGTAGCCTATGTCGCCTCAACGGAGGTTCGGCTGTACAGTTCCTCCTTTGAACCCCGGGTGGGAAACTGGATCGCTAAACGAATCTACTAGGTTTCCTCACCCAAGTGGGGACTCGATCCACAACCTGCTTCCTCCCACAGGTTGAGCCACGAGTGGCCATGACAGCGAATAAGATGCGCGCTGCCATTCCATGAGGGATTTTGTTACCACAACACTCACTCAAACTTACGTCCTGTTCAAACTTACGATGAACCTCCCCCCACACCCCAAAAAATAGATATTTGTGACCCAGATTTAAAATTCAGACGCCTCAAATTACAAGCTTGTAATTTATAAGACCAGGCCGGACATATAGGTGCCACAACTTACGACGGTCATTAGTTATGACAGACATCCATCACAGTTGTCAGTTGTAAGGACTTGCGATACAGGGGTAGCCCTCACCTTACGACCAGAACAGAGCCCCAGATTTCTGTGGCTCAGCAAGAGAGTTCTTAAGAGAGCCTCGCTCCAGTTTACAACCTTTCTTGCCACGGCGGCTGTTAAGTGAACCGCTGCCATTTTTAAGCCAATCAAGCAGTTGTTAAGCGGATCCAGCTTCCCCGCTTCTCAGGCGGTCAACAAAAGGGGATGGCGTCACCCCGGGACGCTGCAACTGTCGTGAGTACATGCCAGTTGCTAAGCCTCTGAATTTGGATCATGTGACCGCGGGAATCCTGGGAATTCGAGTGTGGGGGAAAATGGTCCTCGGTTGCTTTTTCCCACCGCCGTGGTAACCCTGAGCGGTCCTTAAGTGAGTGATTGTAAGTCGAGGACCACCTGTGGGCCCCCAACTCCCTTGTAGCAAGCGATCCCGAACCCCCGAACCCCCCATTTCCCAACCCCAAGCATCTCCCGGCCCACGCAAGGACTTCGCTCCGTACCAGTGGCGTGCAGGAGAAGTGGTCGACGTTCAGTGGGTCGACTTCCAGCTCCAGATCGATGCTGTCGGAGTGCTTGTTGCTGAGGGATGAAGGAGGAGAGAGAGGATGAGGAGGATGAGAAGGACGGACTTCAGCCCCATTATAACTGAGTGCATGTTGAGTTTTCCTGTTTTTTAAATTGTATTTTTTGGGGTTTTTAATCTTTTTAATCTTTTAATTGTTTTTATGTAAGCCGCCCGGAGTCCTTCGGGATTGGGCGGCATACAAATCTATTAAAATTCAATTCAAATTCAATTCAATCCCGGGAGAAGCTCCAGGAAAACGGCGGATCGGGTTTCTTTCAGAGCCTAGAGGCCGTGGCGCGCTCTCTCCTTCTCTCTCTCTCTCTCTCTCCTTCTCTCTCTTCTCTTTCTCTCCCTCCCCTTCCTCCCCCTCTTTCTCTTCTCCTCCTCTCTATTCTCTTTCCCTTTCCCCCGCTCTTCCTCTCCCTTCTCGTCTCTGCTTTTCTCCATCTCTCCCCCCTTCCTCTCCCCCTCTGTCTCTTTTATCCCTGTTCCTCCTTCCTTCTCTCTCTCTCCCTCCCCTCTCTTTCGCCTTTCCTCTTTCTCTCTCCTTCTCTTCTCTCCCTCCCTTTCTCCATCCCCTTCTTCCCCTCTCTCGACCCTCTTTTTTCTCTCCCTTTCTTCCTCTTNACCATTGAATTTCATTTTGTTAGATAGGGCCCAATGTTCAAGTTTGTCCAGATCCTTCTGTGTCTTAAGCCTGTCTTCTGGAGTGGTATTAACACTTGCGGTGATCTTTTTACATACATTATTTATTTATTTGCAAAGTGTTTCAGTGTGGAATTTCATCTTCCATAGGAACCAACATGCAAGAGAAATAACATTTATACTACTTCTTACACAGCGCTAGTCTTATACAATTAGTTTTGACCAACTTAATTCCTTCTAATACATACGTAATCTCTCATTTTAGGTCTACCGCCTAATTTTTTTCAACTCCCGCTTCGTGTTTCCAGCCATTGATAAAATCAATTCCATGTGTCATAATATTCTGTCTCTCCTTTGTTTTTTTAATTCTAACGTGAGTCTATCTGTTTCGGCACATGTTAATGTCTTCCTTATTATCTCTTTTTCGGAAGGGGTTGAAGGTCACAGTTCCCGGGGGATTGCGGGGAGGAAAACTTGGGGGAGAGCCATTCAAACAAACTATCAAAAAGCAATAGAAAAAAATTCAGAAGAAAAGATAGAAGACATATAAAAAGAAGAAGAAGAGAAAAGAAAACCTAGGAATAGAAAGCTAGTAGAATGAAATGAAATATTGTAAACATGGTAATAGCATGTATCTAATTAGGATGTGTGCTAGCTATATTAATTCTTTCAGATGCGTAAAGTCGTTACGTTAAATACTTACTATATAAAAAAAATGAAATGTGAAGACACATGTTGCTAATGGAAAACAGATGGAAAAGAAACGATAAGTTTGACTTGTTTTTAAAGGGGAAAAAATAATTTTAAAAAAATCTGCTTAAAGGGAAGGAAAAAATGACATTTGTGGATATACGGAATAAAAGTTAAAAACTGGAAAATACGAGAAGAAGAGTAATAGGGCTAGAATTGGAAATGGAAATATAATGTAAAACAAATTATGTGTCTTTGAAAATGTTAAAAGTGGGAATCCGGACAACACATTGTTCACAAAAGAAAATTTTTAATTATGTGACAAAAAAATAAAATAGAAAACTTTAAAAAAAAAGAATCACACTTCCCGCGATCTTGATTCTATCCCTCCGTTTACGAGCTCCCACAAAGTTCTCCGCTTACCTGCAGATCATCCATGTTATGCAGGCAGTTTTCCCCTTCGGCGCCATCCCGGAAGGACAGTAACTCCACGTCGGATACCTCCCTGTCTGCCATCATCACGACGTTCAGCTGTTCCCGCGGGTGTAACCGTGGGGCTCCGGAGTCCTTGCCTACCGCCGCCAGCCCTTTCGGGCTACCCGTCACCTGTACGCCCAGGTAGGTCTCCTTCGGCCGCCATTTGGAGCTGCGGTAGCCAGCCAGATCGGGGACCAGATCCCGGGTGTAATCCGCGCCTCCGTGCCGGGGGTTGATTGTCTCGAGGAGAGAGGGTTTGGCGCCGGAGATGGGCTTCCGGCCGCTCGGTTGCTCCAAGCTCAAGGCGGTGGACAGGAGCTTCTCCTGCCTCGTGGAGAAATATTCGGGGTTCAGTTTGTGTTTTTTGGGTGCTGGGTAATCTTTCGGGCTCTCGCTGCTGTAGTAGCTGGAGGGTTCGGAACGAGGCCGTCGCAACTCTGAAAACGGAGAAGGGGACAAATCAGGAAACAGCCAGGGTTGAGGTGTGGGGGGATCGCATTGTGCTGTCTCTCTGCGGGGTGAGCAAAGGACGGCGGTCATTAGGTGAGGATTGGGGGTGGGTGGGGGCTCTCCCTCGCTTGGGCTCCTTCGACGCATCGTTTGGGGAAGTGGGTGGACTTCGTTTGAGAGTTGACAATTCCCAAAGCTGCAACTTTACGAGTTGCAACAAACACACAGAGACACCAAAAAAAGATGTTGAAACTTTGGAAAGAGTGCAGAGAAGAGCAACTAAGAGGATTAGGGGACTGGAGACTAAAGCATAGGAAGAACGGTTGCAGGAACTGGGTATGTTGAATGGAAAGAAGGACCAGGGGAGACATGATGGGAGTCTTCCAATATCTCAGTGGCTGCCCCAAAGAAGAGGGAGTCAAACTATTCTCCAAGGCACCTGAGGGCAGGACAAGAAGCAATGGGTGGAAACTAATCCAGGAGAGAAGCAAACTAGAACTGAGGAGAAACTTCCTGACAATTAGAGCAATTAACCAGTGGAACGACTTGCCTCAAGAAGTTGTAAATGCTCCAATACTTTTAAGAAGATGTTGGATAACCATTTGTTGGAAGTGGCGTGAGAACAATTAATCGGTGGAACAGAAGTTTCCTCCAGAAGTTGTGAATGCCCCAACACCAGAGGCTTTTAAGGAGAGATTGGAAGACTCC